GCCCGGGGCTGACCCTTCGGAAGCCACTCACAGGTAGCACCAGGCGCTTCCTGAGGGCGCAGACACTGGTAACAACCAGACCCCAGACGGGTCGACGCCACAGGGCTCCTCTTCTGCTCAACGTCCAGATCAGGCTGAGCCAGGGGACCGGGGGGTGGGGGGCAGGGGGCGAGGGCATCGGGAATTTAGCAGGGGCAGATTTGAGGCTGGGTCGGTGGGGGATGCAGTTCTGGAAACAAGGTGGTGAATGCCCTCCGTGCCGCCGAACTGGACCCATGAAAACGGTTCAGGCGGTAAATTCCGGGTTACGTTTTACTGTAACACAGACAAACTCCACGAGGAGCCAAAGCAGCAGGCCCCGGAGAGAAGGGACTTGGACGGGCCGACTTCCTCTCCGACTGCAGGCGGAGGGGCTTCCCTGCCCCAAGTCACAGGAAGGAGTCGCGGTGATTCATGGGGGCCCAGCGGCATCTCCCGCTGGGGGGCCTTCATCGCCCTGTGAATCACACTTATCTCCATTTTGCAGACCAGGAAACAGATGCCGTTAACCCTTCGTGAATGGCACTGTAGCTGCACCTTCCATAGGAAACGGCGGTCTGGGGAATTTTCTGCCCGTGGCTGGAAAGCCCCAGAGACCGCGGACAGCTCAGAGGCCATCCCAGGTGAGGCGGCCTCTGCCCTCCTGCCAGCCATCTCCTGTCCAGAACGGCTTGAGGTCACCCCTGGGCCCTGGGAACAGAGAGTAGCCTCCACTACCTGTGCTCGCCGCCCTCCTGCTCTGGGCTTCCGGAGCTCTCCTCGGCCAGCACGTCGGACACCAGCTTGAGGGCGCGCTCCACGTGGGAGACGGCCTTCTGGACGGCCAGGAGCTCCTCCTCCGTGGGGTAGATGGCAGCATGCATCCACATGACATGCCGGTCATCGCTGGACTCCGGCCGCCGTGTGGGCTACAGGCAAAGGGGAGAGTGTCACAGGCGGGCTGAGAGGCTCCGGCACCCGGCAGGTAGGGGAGGGGACGAGGGTCAGCCCCGGCTGCCGCAGGGCACACGCAGCCCTGTCCGGGGATGGGGAGCCCCGGAGCCAGGCTGGCTTTGGGGGTGGCAGGCAAGTGGCAGCAGAGAGCCAGGTGAAGGAAGGCTAGGGACGCCCGAGGCGGTGAGCCAGAGAGGACCCAGGACTGCGTGGGGCCGGTGGGCTCCCCTCTGTGGTGGTCTTACATGTCTGAGCCAGAGGCTTCGCAGCCACCTCGGCGGGGTCCTTCCCCTCGGCAAGGTGGGCACGGGGGGCTCCCCACCCACCCTGGCCCAGCGTGCGTGGACAGATGGACGCTGAGGCTCCAGAGGGAAACGGTGACCGGGGCCCCACAGCTAGGAACGCCTGTGGCTGGTGATGGGACCCACGCCTGGGGCCCCTGTCCGTGACTGGTGATGAGGCTATGGCCCTCAGGCCCTCCAGCTCCCACCCCGGGCACCCTTTGGGGGTCCTCGTTCAAAGTCATGTTCCTCACTCCTAGAAGATTCAGGTCCTTGTAGGGAGGGCCTGAGAACCTCACCCGCCCGTGGGACCTCAACCACGGGAGGCATTTGGCACAAAGACAAGGCCGCCACCCACCAGAGGTGAGCCAGTAGGTGCCCCCGGCCTGCTCAGGAGGGAAGGAGGGGGCTGGTCAGGTGGCGAGGGTCCAAGGTGTTCTTCCTGGGCCTGTGGCCCCTCCTCCAGTCGCCTCCTACACAGATCGTAGCGCCTGTTGGGGGGAAGAGGGGGGACAGGTTGCTCTAAGCAGCCGAGGGTCCCCTGGGCTTGTCACATCAGAGCGATGCTAGGTGAGGTTGGGGCTCCAGGACCTCCAGGGACAGACACAGTAGCCTGATGGGACCCTGGGAGCCCACCTCCAGGATGTGGGTCCTGCACAAATGCCCACCGTATATCAGGGAGAGTGAGGCCAGGCGGGTCGGGAGAACATATGCCAAGGGCAAGAGGCAGGGAATGAAGGACAGCTGCAATGCTGAGTGTGTCCTGGGTCTTGCTCTCCAGCTCAGACGCTGCCTGGACCTTCCGAGCATCAGACACCATGTCAATAATGCTTCGAACCTGCTCCAGAGGGCGAAGGAGGATGTGACAAATGCATGGGTGGTCAGGGGACGTGGAGATTCAGGGGGACACAAGGAACCCTAAGGTTCAGGCAGAGACCAGAGGTCTGGAGTACATAGGAGGTCAGAGGGACACAGATACCAGGGGATCCCGGGGTCAGGGGGATAGAGGTGGTCAGGGGGACATAGGTCAGAGGACACTGGGGTCAGGGGGACACAGGAACTCAGGGGAACTGAGGTCAGGGTGACACAGGAAGTTGGGGGACACAGGAGGTCAGGGGAACTGAGTTCAGGTGACACAGGAGGACGGGGGACACAGGAGGTCAGGGGACACGAGAGG